GTGTATGTCTTTATTCCCCAATTGTGTTCTGGTATTTTTTGAACCTGTTAACTTTTCCAGATTTTATTCTGATAGAAGCCAGGTCTTTTTATTTTTCCAATAACTTATATCCAAGCCTGTCTTTCTTATGAAAGATACTCGGTGCTTTTGTTTTGCTCTTCACTGAGGATGAACTGATGGCAGCTAAAATGCAAAAAAAAAAAAAAAATACAGCTTGTGTATGACTTGAATATCATTGTGGAGACCCGTGAGCAAAAGATACACTTCTACCTCTCAGAGGTTTTTAGTGCTTAAGCTGTGACCTCAAACTTGCCAGACTTAACTGCCTCTCTTATGGGCTTACCTGACTGCAGGACCCAGAAGTCTTTCTCTAATGCTTGAGATCAGCTGATATGTTGAAAACTCTGCCTATTCGATTTTCTCTGCTTTCATCCCATTCTAGCGTTTTCTTGGAGAGCTGCCAAGAACACTGGATGAAGCCCGTCCTGAAGCTGTCTTCGGGGTGTGCTTCAGGGACTCAGGGCACACAGACTAAAAAAGGTCGTGGATTATATTCCGACTTCCCCAAAAGTGACCTAGAAGATACGTGAAGTCCCGTTCTGAACTTATCACTGATGACATGTTTGTTCAGAAAACAAACAGTATAGTGGAGGAAGCACGCACCATGCGTCTGGCTCTGCAGGGATCACACCGCAGCTGTGAACTTGAGCTTCCTTATCTGCACGTAGGCAGCACGGCTGTGAGGACAGGGGAGTGCTTTATGAAGTTCCTGGCCCGTAGGTGGCAGGTGCTAATCAGGAATAGCTACAGAGTACGCTCCTGTATTGTGAATCCCATAGATTCAGAGTACTTCCACACACTGCTTCCTAACAGTGATAACTAGGACCATTTTTCCCCCAGAATTTTAAAGAATTTATCCCCTTACAGAGGGATTTCACAGTATAAAAAAGTAAAAGGAAATAGGATAAAGACAAAGATTTGGCTACAGGAGTATAATCACAGTAAAGTTTAGAACTGGGAGGAAATGTGGTACACATTCTGTAGTCAGATCTGAGAACAGGCTATCTGGCCAGACAGCACGAGAACAGCAAGGCCCACATTCTACATCCAAGTGCCTGGGTGCAAGTCCTGGGTCCCCTGTCGATGCCAGTGTCCTGCTAACGCTCCTCGTGAGGGGCAGCAGGTGAGCACTCAAGTAGTTGAGTCCCTGCTACCCATGGTGGAGACCAAGGCTGAGTTCCTGGCTCCTGGCTTTGTCTGGCCTAGCCCTGGCCATGGTGGGCATTTGGGGAGTGAATCAGTCATGGGAGCACTCTCTCTCTCTCTCTCTTTCTCTCTCTCTCTCTCTCTCTCTGCCTCTCAAATAAATAAAAATAAAAAACAATGTTATGAGCTAGAAGTAAGGTTAATATAGAAAGTATATGCCAGGCCACACAGCAGACTCATAGAATGGCAAATGCCCTAAACAGCACTCTGGCCTCAGAATCAGCCCTTAAGACATTCAGATCTGGCTAAAAAGCCCATGAGAGTCTCTCAGGCATGGAGAGCCAAGACACTGTGGCAAAAAATGGCCTACATGAAAGATCTCTGTAAGTGAGATCCCTGTGGAAAGAATGGTTCATCAAAGAGGGAGTTAACTTTTCTCTGAAGGGAGGAGAGAACTTCCACTTTGCTTATGGCCCTGTCTAAATAAGGTCAGAGTTTATGGACTCAAGAGGCTTCCATAGCCTTGGCAGCTCATGACAAGAGCCTCGGGTGATCACTGACGTCATATATAAGAATGTCAGTTGTTAAATCAACACCAGGAGTCACTGTGCACTTGTTCCCCATGTGGGACCTCTGTCCTTAATAAGTTGCACTATGAGAATTAATGGTAAAACTAGTCTTCAAACTGTACTTTATATTTTGTGTGGCTGTGTGGGTGCAAACTGTTGAAATCTTTACTTAGTATAGAGTTGACTTTCTGTATATAAAGATAATTAAAAATGAATTTTAATGAAGAATGGAATGGGCGAAGGAGTAGGAGGTGGGATGGTTTGGGGATGGGAGGGCAGGTATGGGGGGAAGAACCGCTATATTCCAAAAGCTGTAACTATGAAATTTATATTTAGTAACTAAAAACTTTCTAAGAAAGAAAAAGAAAGAAAGAAAGTGAATGCCAGAGGTCCCTGGGTGCAAACCTGACTGAGCTACCTAGTGGCCAAGGCAGACAGGAAAACCTCATTGGCATGGTTCGTGGTGGATTTTGGACAAAAACCAGTGGCTCAGAAGAAGCCCAGCCTAGGCCCATTTTTGTTGAGGAGCAAACCGCAGCTGTGGTCTACTGGGGTTTTGGCTTGTCCAGTATTCCTTTGTTTTCCCAAGCCCACTGCCAGTGCAGCCTAGGAACCGGCACATTCAGGAGGTCCCCATGGAGAGACAGATTCTGGGGTGGATCGCTCAGTGGACTTCCCTGGCGGGTCACCTGGGCACTGTCATGGTGTCTTGGGGCAAGTTGCTTGTCACAGTTGTCTTCAGCCATAAACCTATCTTAGGGATCACCACTTCCTAATGAGTAAAAGAATGGGTTCTGAGGCCCCCACTGCCTGAGTATTTTTTTTAAAATAGAGCAAGAGAGAGAGAGAGAGAGATCTTCCATCCACCAGTTCACTCCCCAAATGCCCAGCCAGTCTGCAGCTGGGAGCCTGCAGCTCCCTCCAAGTCTCCCATTTCAGTGGCAGAGGCCCAAGCACTTGGACCATCTTCTGCCGTCTTCCTAGATTCATTAGCAGGGAGCTGGATCAGGAGTGGAGGAGTAGAGATGGGAACCAGATGCTGGCCAGCCCTCCACTGCCTGGATTTGGCTGCCTTGCCCACTTACTCCTCCTCCCTCCCCACTGCCCCCCACTGGCCCCTGCCCCCAGCTACGGTTGCTCAGCTTTAAAGGGGACTGCAATGACTTCTGCCTCCCTCTTTGGGTTCGATGAAAAACAAGTGGGTGAAAATTTTAACAAGTTTGTAGTAAGCGTCTAAGAATACTAATCATTATCGCCACTCGAGGGGAAAAGGGTATGATTGTGCCCCCTGCCCCCTCCGTCAGAGGCGTCTGTTGAAGACCAGGGTACCTGTGGCCCTGAGAGGCACAGGCACAGAGGACGTTGGTGGTGTAAGGAAATGAGGCCTAGTCCTGCCTGCACGGCGTGTCCTTGACATTGCAGAGGGAGATATCTGCTTTGCTCATACACTTATCCTCAGAGGACCGGCTGCCACCACATCTCATTTTGTGACAGTCACAGAAGGCTGTGCCCACTGCATGCCACTGGCTCCATTTCACAGGAGAGGAAGTTGGCACTGTACAAGGGGCAGTGACTCAGCAGCCCAGGTCTCCGGGCGGGATGGATGCAGAGCTCTGTGTGCCTGCACGTCCAGCCCTCCTTGGTTCTGGCTGGCTGGGGACAGAGATGTGAAGCCACGCCTGGCACCATACACAGGCAGGGAGGGGCCTGGGTGAGGCAGAAGAACCGACTGGGAATATTTCTCTCCTAACAATAACGTGGCATCACGGGAGAAATGCGACCTTCAAGGGTGCAGGATGAAGTCATACTGAAGTGGAAAAGGAGCCCAAGAATCAGAGTTTGGACTGAGCTGGGGCAGGGGCAGGGGCAAGGCCAAGTCCACTCGGGGATTCTGAGAAGCTCCAAGAAAGGAGTCAGTGGAACCCTGATGAAAGACCCCAGGGACCCTCATGGGTCTGGAACCAGCTGAGCTTCCTCTTTGCTTTTCCAATCTTGGGGGAGCGCTATGCGATAAGGGCCCGGGTCACTCTAATCAGCCCTCAGGCATGGGGGTTCTAGAGATGTGCCCTGCAAGTCTAAGGTTTCCAGCTGGGTGACCTGGACCACGTCCCCCTCCTCCCTACCCCCCCACCCCATAGCCGTCGGAAGCGGGGATAAGACTCCATCCATTCATAGAGCAGGTGTGTCCCAGGCATCATTATGGCTGTTGAGGACTCAGCAATTTTTAGCACAGATCAAACCCCTTGCCTCCTGCAGCTCCCTCTGGGGAGGAGACCAGCAAGGCCACCTCCTGCTCCCCTGCCAGGATGCCCTGTCCCCCTGCCGCGGGGCTGCAGCCAGACTTCAGCAGACTGACCATGGGAGGGGGGACGGCGGGGAGGGCAGGTGGAGGTTGGAAGGCCCCGCTTTCTTCATTTGCCTGGTTCCTTTTTGAATCTCGATATTATCATAACACCCACTTAGAAAAGTGTCTACATTTAGAAATTCTTGCTAACTGACACACATATATAACCAGCACCTGGACCGATAGACAGAATGTGACCCAACTTCCTGTATCCCTTCTTGCCCCTAGTCTGTAATCCTACACCATGAGGCAAACCATCTCGAGGCTTCTGGCACCAGGCATTCGGTTTTTAAACCTTTGTATCCTTTTATGTGCTGCACCTTTCACTCCGTGTTCTATTTGAGAGCTTCATTCATGGCTCACTCATTCTCATTGTTAGCATCTCACTATATGGAGACTCAGCAGTCGGTCCAGTCTGCTGTGGACATTGCATCATCTCCTGCTCGGGGTTGTAAAACAGGCCACAATGACCATGGGTAGGTCTGGCTTCCGGTGGGCATGTCCGCCTTACCCAGGGCAGCTGCTCTGTCATGGGAGACGTGGGAGTGCTCTTTAAGCAGATCTCACTAGCTTTCCACGATGGGTGTACAGAGACCTCCACCAGCAAGGTGTGTGATGGCTCCAGGTGCCCGATGCTCTGCTTCCTTTACACTGTAGCCATGCTGCTGGCATCACGTGCTGGTTTAATGTGCATTTCTCTGGCATCTCAACCAGTCTACCAGGGGGCCCTGCTGCAGTTCAACATGACAATCACAGAGCTCTCTGCCCACCCCGGGTCTTCTGTGCACAGTTGGTGCTGCCCTTTTGGCAACTAGAAAAACCACAAGCCTGTTGCCATCCAGCCCTCATCCACAGCCCTGACGGCCTTTATGTCTCCTCAGTAAGAAGAAGAAAAATGGCCCAAAGCAATCAGCCAAGGCCACCCGGGACCAGGTGCCTTCGTACCAGTACAACATGAATTTTGACAAGATGGGCAAATGCATCATCATAAACAACAAGAACTTCGATAAAGTCACAGGTGGGTGCTGGGGGCCTGGGCTCGCCTCTCCCGTCCCCTGCACTTCCCCCATTTATATCAGACATGGATGAGAGAAGGGCAGGGCCCATCAGCTGCAGCCGACAGCCCCTCCGAAGGTGGAATAGGGATGCGGGGAGAACAGGCCCTGACGGTCGAAGGTCCCACACCATGCATGTCCATTAACTGACAGGGGACATTGACCAAAGGGCTGCAAGTTGAGGCAGCTGCGTGGCTTTGCTGGGAACTGAGAGTTGCCACGAGGCAGCTGGGTCCCTTCTCCTTGGAGTGCGTCTCGTGTCATTTGCTCGTGCTATATTCTCAGAGTGTTTGCATTGCAGCTGGGTCAGCAGCAGCGAGCGCCCAGCCTCCTGACGCCTGCACGCGGTATTCAGCCGGGGTCGCTTGCTTCCCGCAGGTATGGGCGTCCGGAATGGCACAGACAAAGATGCCGAGGCCCTTTTCAAGTGCTTCCGGAGCCTGGGCTTTGATGTGATGGTCTACAATGACTGCTCCTGCGCCAGGATGCAAGACCTGCTTAAACGAGGTGACTGCTCCCGCCTCCTCTGGCCGTCTTCTTCCCGCACCTGGGAGAACAGGGCGCAGGCTGGCCCCGGGAGGATGCCTTTGTGGACAGGGCAGTTTTAGCCTGGCCTGTACTGTCCTGGGGGAGGCAGGTCTCTTTCAGGAATCTTCCATCATGATCCATCATGAATAGCTGAAATCCCAGCACAAGAAATGAGCTCTGTGCATACAGTTTCTTTTCTTTTTTAATTTTTTCCCAGGCAGAGTTAGACAGTGAGAGAGACAGAGAGAATGGTCTTTCTTCCGTTGGTTCACTCCCCTAATGGCCGCTATGGCTGGCACTGCACCGATCCGAAGCCAGGAGCTGGGTGCTTCCTCCCGGTCTCCCATGCGGGTGCAGGGACCCAAGCACTTGAGCCATCCTCTGCTGCCCTCCAGGGCCACAGCAGAGAGCTGGACTGGAAGAGGAGCAACCAGGACTAGTACCTGACACCCCAACCGGGACTAGAACCCGAGGTGCTGGCGCTGCAGGCAGAGGATTAGCCTAGTGAGCCATGGTGCCGCCGGCTATGTGCATGCAGTTTCAAAAGGCCGATTCTGAGGGCGGTAACACACAGGCACCGTCCTGCCTGGAATGGAGTTCAGGTCTGAGCCTTGCCTCGGTGGCATAGAGAGAGTAATAGTTCCCGAATACTTCAGAACAGCCTCCGTTTTCTCTATAGCAAACTCACAAAACTGCTTTATTACATCTTTAACACAGCCCCCGCAGTGGTGGTCCATGGGATATTATCATGCCCCGTTTATAAATGGGGGTTACTGTTGAGAGTATGGGTGACGTGCCAGAGGGTATGTTAGTATAGGCAGAACCAAAATCCAAGCTTTTCTTCTTCTTTTTTTTTTTTTTTTAAAGGGGCAGGGGGAAGTATTATGGCACAGTGGGTTAAGCTGCAGCCTGTGATACCACTATCCTATATGAGCACCAGTTAAAGTCCTGACTGCTCCACTTCTGATCCAGCTCCCTGCTAATGTGCCTAGGAAATCGGTGGAAGAGGCCCCAAGTGCTTGGGCCCTTGTGACCCATGTGGGAGACCCGGATGGAGTTCCAGGCTCCTGGCTTTTAGTCTGGCCCAGCCCTAGCCATTGCAGCCATTTGGGGAGTGAGCCAGAAAATGGAAGATCTGTCTCCCCTTCTCTCTCTCTCTCTCTCTTTCTCTCTCTCTCTCTCTCTCTGTAACTCTGCCTTTCAAAATAAATAAGTACATCTTAAAAAAATATATCAAAGCTCTGGATTTTCAACTCCAGGACAAATGCGTTTCCTATGAAACCTCACTATCTGACAGATGGCAGCCAGGACATGCCAGCATTTTGAGGGCAAGCATTTGAAAGTTATATGTGAGGTGGGCTTTTTTTTTTTTTTTTTTTTTGACAGATAGAGTTAGTGAGATAGAGAGACAGAGAGAAAGGTCCTCCTTCTGTTGGTTCACTCTCCAAATGGCCACCACGTCCGGAACTACGCTGATCCGAAGCCAGGAGCCGGGTGCTTCTTCCTGGTCTCCCCTGCGGGTGCAGGGTCCCAAGCACTTGGGTCATCTGCCTTCCCGGGCCACAGCAGAGAGCTGGACTGGAAGAGGAGCAACCGGGACTAGAACCCAGCGCCCATATGGGATGCCGGCGCCGCAGGCGGAGGATTAACCAAGTGAGCCACGGCGCCGGCCTCGAGGTGGGCATTTTTTAGCCTAGTGATTTGATTCCCGGCTCCAGCTTCCTGCTAATGTGTATTCCGGGAGGCAGCACTGATGGCTCAACTAATTGGATCGCTGCCACCAGCATGGGAGTCCTGGAATGTGTTCCCAGCTCCGGGCTCCTGCTGGCATTTGAGGAGTAAACCAGCAGATGGGAACTTTATCTGTCACTCACATAAATAAAAAATAATTTAAATTTAAAGCAAAAGTAATATCCCACTAACTCACTAGACAGGGACCCACAGGTAGTAGATAGGAATGCAGTTCAAATCAGTGCTGCTTTTCTTAGCTATATGGATTTTTTTAAAAATATTTATTTGTTTGACAGGTAGAGTTAGAGAGAGAGAGAGAGAGAGAGAGAGAGAGAGAAAGGAGCTTCCATCCTCTGGTTCACTCCCCAAATGGCTGCAGGAGTCAGGAACTTCGTCCAGGCTGTCCACGTGCGTGCAGGGGCCCAAGTGCAATAAGCCGTCATCTGCTGCTTTCCCAGGCACATTAGCAGGGAGCTGGATCAGAAGTGGCACAGCTGGGACTCGAACCAGCACCCATATAGGATGCCAGTATCACAGATGGCTTAACCATCCATTGGCTTAACCTGCTGTGCCACAGCGCCAGCCCCTTATTTGCTTATTTTTTAAACTAGGCATCTTTTTCTAGTTTCTTTAAACTTGAATCTTCTAGCTGACCTGTGTACCCTTGTAGGTCACCTGACGGAGCAGACTAGAAATCAGGGGCCAAAGTCCAGGGTCTGGCGCAGGCTCCAGCATTCAGGCAGCCCAGGCAAGACAGCCTGATCTTCCTGTTTTTTTGTTTGTTTTCCTAAAATGCAGATCATGCCACCAGCTCCTTCTGTGTCTGGCAGCTGGAGTGAGAAAAGTTGTGAGTGTGCTTTATGAAGCATCACGGCCTAAAAAGGCAGAGAGTTTGTCCCCGTGGTAGTCGATCTAGTAACAGGTGCATGATGCCATCCAAGCTCTGAACGTGTCACGGCCGGAGAATTCTTGTTCATTTCCCATTCAGAACAGTGAAGTGGTTGCTTTTCTGAGTGTACGTGTAATAGATTCCACTGAGGACAACAATTCTATTTTCCAGCTGCCCTAATTCATCTAATCTTAAACTAAGAATTTGAACTGTCATCATCACCCCCTCTGCCTCTATTATCAAAACTAATTTTTAAAAAATCGCTGCCGATTGATGCCAAGCTCTCGCCGATCACAGGGGAAGAGGCTGCACGGTGTGGAACCAGGGAGGTCGCAGAGCTGTAGGCAGCTTAGGCTTAGGCTTGGCCCCAGCCACCGCGGGCAAGGTTAGGAAGCCGCTCTGAGGTTCCATTTTTCATCAGAGAAGTCAAAAGAATGAGGCCCGCCTCCAGGGCTTCCTGGTTGGATTGAACCACTCATGTAAAGTACCTGGAGCCGTGTCTCCATCTAGCAGGTGTGCAAAATTTCTGAACCTCACTCTTCCCCTACGTTTGATCGTAGAGAACACAGAAGGTTATGTTAGCTGGGTAGAATCACAGACTATTAGAAGAGTTTCCGCTGGGCCAATTGGCTGCCTGCTCTAAGCTTCCTAAATCGGCAGGCAGTCTTGGCATTGCTTTGCATTTTTTCTTTTTCTTTAACTTTGTTTGCTTGTTAATCGTGGCAAGGTGCCCATGATGTTAAGATTTACCATTTTAACCATTCAGGACATGCAGTGCTGTGCAGCCATCCCCTCCAGCCAGCCCCAGAACTCTCTGCGTCGTTTGTAACTCAGACTCTGTATCTGTCAGATGCTGAGTCCCTATTTTCCCTTCCCTTAGCTCCCGGTACCCCCATCTCCTTCCTCTCTTTGAACTTGACTACTCTAGGTGTCCCATGAAAGTGGACTCACACAGGCAAGTCCGTTCATGACTGGCTTATCTCACGTAGCATGTTTCATTTTCTTGGACAAATACTTGCATGATGCTAATTATGTGGCCCACTTTCAGAACACTGTTTTGATTTTAAAAGATTTACTTCTTTATTTGAAAGGCATAGTGACAGAGAGGGAAAGGCACAGAAAGAGAGGGAGATCCTGCATCTACTGGTTCACTCCCCAAATGACCCCAGTGGCTGGGACTGGGCAAGGCCAAAGCCAGGAGCCTGGAACTCCATCCACATGGGTACAGGGGCCCAAATACTGGGCTGTTCTTCCACTGCCTTCCCAGTCTCAGTAGCAGGGAGCTGGATAGGAAGTGGAGCAGCCAGAACTCCAACCAGCACCTTGGTATGGGATGCCAGCATTGCAGCTGGCAGCTTAACCCTCTGCAGCCAGTGCCAGTCCCCTTGCTTCCCGAAGATTAACTCCCATAAGTGCTAGCATCTCTTCTTACAGATAGGTAACCAAGGCGCACAAAGGCTAAGTGACCTGTCTAAGGGCATAGCGCCGGCAGGTGGCAGGGCCAGGCTCTTCCTCTCCCCCAGGATGCTGCTCCCAACAGCTCCCCGTGAACCTGCAGTGCTCAGGGCTCATTTCCTCGCGAGACAGCCGCATAGCCGCATTCTGCTTTCAGACCGGGAATTCCAGAACACTCCCTGTCTCTGACTCATCTCCTTCGATCCTCATTCCCCTCGGGGGGGGGGGGGGGGGTGCAGGAGCCCGGTCCCAACTGCCCTGCCTCGCATGTTCCTGCTTTGTGCCTCCCAGGCTGCCCCTGGGACACACTTTTGAGGTTGCCCAGGACTTAACATTTTACCTTTGCTGTGTCTGAATTGCTTGTAGCTTCTGAGGAAGACCACACAAATTCTGCCTGCTTTGCCTGCATCTTACTGAGCCATGGAGAAGAAAATCTGATTTATGGAAAAGATGGTGTGATTCCCATAAAGGATTTGACAGCCCACTTTAGGGGGGACCGCTGCAAAACCCTGTTAGAGAAACCCAAACTCTTCTTCATCCAGGTAACTGCTTTCCCAAGCCAGTCCAGTTGAAAATGGGAAAATACTTCAGAGTCACTGGGAACATTGTTACAAATCTGGGAGCTGTTGCCACTGTGATATGCAAATTTGAGTTTTATTTTTCAAGCTCTGGATGGTTGGCACGTGTGTCTCCATTGGATCCCACATAAGAGGGTTTCTTTTAGATGTTGCAATGTGTTTGTTTGCTTTGCTTAGTCATTCAACACAGCATTCATATTTCACCATCCATTACGTGATTGTGGAGCGCCTATGCCAGGCGTGGCTCTGGGCCCTGGCATGCAGCAGGGAACAGCACACCCATTTCTGTTGCGAGCTCCATGGAGTGATCTCTGCTCTGACACCCAGGCTTGCCGAGGGACGGAGCTCGATGATGGAATCCAGGCCGACTCGGGGCCCATCAATGACACAGACGCCAACCCCCGCCATAAGATCCCGGTGGAAGCTGACTTTCTCTTCGCTTATTCCACAGTTCCAGGTATCAAGTTCACTGTCTGCTAACCTTACTGGTCCATTGCACTATCAGAAGGCAGGCTTGAGGGCTGTGTTCCTTTCTCTTTGCTGCAGTTACAAATTGCATGGTGTGCATCCCGATTCCAAAATGCCCCTGAATCCATGACTTGTCGAGTGCCAACTTGATGCTTGAAAGTTTGAATTTTGCAGTGTTTCAGATTTCAGATGCTCAGCCAGAAAAGTCAATACAGGTGATCCAAAATCGGAAAAGCTCCAAAATGTGAAACACATCTGATCCTAGGCAGTGTGGATATGGGATGGAATACACAACTTGTAGTACAAACACCATAGCTTCAGTTGCGGGAACCTTGCAGCCCTGCAAGTCAGAACCCAGGGCCGCGTTGCTCTGGAGACCCGGGGGGTATGCGCTGCCTTGCCTTTTCCCAGCAGGTGAGAATCTCGTCCATTCCCTGGCGTGTGGCCCTTTCCTCCCTCTTCCAACCCGGCAGCCTCACATCTCTTTGACCTTTTCCCTGTCCTCTCATCTCTCTCTCTCTCTAAGCACAGCCAGGAAAGGACCCCTGTGATTTGGCTGGGCCCACTTGGATAACTTAGGATCATCTCCCCTTCTCAGTTCTGTAACCATAATCACACCTGCAAAGTCCGTTTTGCCACATAAGGTAAGTATGCGCAGGTTCTGGGGTCAGGGCCTGGACATCTGTGGGGACCATCATTCTCTCTGGCACAGGGATGAGTTCACTTTTCTCTCATTTGTTTTCACTACTATTGGTCATTGTGAGAGCAAGCATTTCTTGTGTTTTATGCTGTAGAGTGTGTTCACATCTTTTCCTTGATATCTTCACAATGCTTGTAGGTAGTGAGGAAAAGCGTCACTGCTGTCCTCATTGAGGGTGATTGAACCTAAGGGATGTGCCAAGGTCAGATGGAGAGCTGAGTTCATGGTAGAGCTGTAGCTCCAACCAGGACTCCTTCACACGTGTGCTCTGGTGCCAGACAGTCAGTAATGTGCAAACCTACTCGTTATTTACCAAAAAACATGTTTGTCCAGGTCTGTGCACTGAAAGTGCTTCCTCTGTTTTGAGTACAACCCATCGCTAAGTTAGAATAACTCTCCCAGCTGCAACAGTGTTTTTATCAAGTGCTCGGTGCAAAGATGTTGGTTACAGTAAGCAGGTCAGTATGTTCAGAAAACCAGCTCTGGCAGGATCTACAGGTGGGATTTTGAGAGGATAACTTTGCAAGTGCTAAGGATGGGATAACATAGAAAATAATTTGGTCTTCTCGGTGTCAGAAAGGGAGGCAACGTGAGGGGGACCCCATGTCTGTGACCAGTGGTAGGGTTGTGGGCGCTCCCAGCGCCGTTTGGAGGAGTTCATGGAGGAAGGGTGACCTCATCTAGGGAGGGAGGTGAGAGGCTCTCCCACAAAGGAGCTGCTGTAACTGAGTCTGGAAGAGTTCAACAGCAGGGAACGGAGATGGACGGCTTATCAGACAGTTCCAGGCAAAAGCCCAATACGCTTGGTGAAACTCAGGGCTGGATCACAGGGAGTATCAATCAGTCAGGCTGCTGTAACAAAATACCATCTGCTGGGTGGTGTAAACAGCGCTTATGTCTCCTAGCTGGCAAATCCAAGTTCAAGGTGCTAGCTCATGTGTTTTCTGATGAGGGCTCCCTTCCTGGGTTTTTAAACAGAAAACAGCCTGTGTTGTCCTCCCAGGTAGAGAGAGAAGCCTCCTCTTATAGGGACACAAATACGGTTGGAAAAGCAGCCCACCTCTGTGACCTTATTTAACCTTAATTACTCCGTGAAGGCTCAAATGCAGTCACACTGGGTGTTGAGGCTTCAACATAGGAATAGGGAAGGGGAAACAGTTTAGCCCATAGCACAGGCTGTGACAGGGAATGGCAAGATCAAATCCAGACAGGGGCCAGTGCTGTGGGGTAGTGGGTAAAGCCACTGCCTGCAGTGCTGGCATCCCATATGGGTGCCAGTTTGAGTCCCAGCTGCTCCACTTCTGATCCAGCTCTCTGCTGTGGCCTGGGAAAGCAGTAGAAGATGGCCCAAGTCCGTGGGCCCCTGCACCCGCACGGGAGACATAGACCTGGCTCCTGGCTTCAGATTGGCACAGCTCCGGCCATTGCAGCCAACTGGCAAGAATCCTCTCTCTCTCTCTCTGCCTCTCCTCTTTCTGTGTAACTCTTTCAAGTAAATAAATAAATCTTTAAAAAAAAAAAAAAACCTAGACAGGTAGATAAGGGGCCCTAGCATAGCAGGCTCTGTGTGTTGTGCTAAGTTACCCCAGTTTTACCCCAATAAAGAGGTGCAAGGGAACTGTTCTAGATTAGAGACTCACAGGATGAGATTTGCATTTTTAATTGAGATTAAAAACCCCGGAGACCCTACTAGGACAGGGGTCAGAGGCTACGAGCCCAGGGAGGAGACAGTCTGTGCCCAGCCTCACCAGACTGTAAAGAATGAGATACCGGGCGTGACCTTCTCCCCCCACCCACCGCATGAATGAGATGCATTGTCATCCGCTGACACTGTTGACCACAAGCGTCATGCTTGTGGCTGCCAGTGCTGGTGCGGCTCAGTCACTTTACACAGACGGGTTATTTCTGCTTATTGTATGTACCTTTATTCCCTAACACTGTATACGTGGCAATGATAAGTGACCTTGTTCTCATCAAAGTGGAGGGAACGAAGTCACAAGCAGTCACAATAATACTGTAGCCAGAATGTCCAGTGTGAGGAAGTAACTGAAACCCCAAACCTGCCTGGGTTTCACATTCCTTCTCACTGTAGCTCAGCCCTTCTGTGGGGGTCAGGTGCTACGGGAGCCTCCATCTCTAGCTCTCTCCCCGCCCCTCCCACTTGAAGATTCCTTTCTAGAGTCTTCCAGGGTCAAAGGCGGAGCGGGGCGGGGGGGTGAGACAGGGAAAGAGAGGGTAGAGAAAGAGGTGAGACGTGTGTCCTGTGGTCATCTGACCTTTTGTGTCCTGGACCAGTTGGGTGACTCCTGCTGGGTGCTTTGCGGGCCCCTGCTCCTTCTCGGCCTTTCGGTGTGCATCTCTGTTCCTGGTTAGGTGTTGCGTTTCCTTCCTCAGCTCCCAGGCTCAGGAGTGCTCCAGAGTGCTTGTGTGTCTTCTTTCTGTGGGGGTCTCCTGGGCCCTACAAGAAGACCCTCTGGACAGGACCCAGGACAACCCCAGGGCCGGCTTTCCTCCTGCAGACCACGTGTGGTTCACAAGAGGCGTGTGCCCTGCCCGGGCAGCCCCCAGGGCTCATTCAGCCACCTGTTGCGTCCAGGGTTCCTCAGCCAGACCCAGTTCCGGTTCTGTGGCCTCCAGCAGGGGGAACACATCTCCGAGTTGCCTGGGGTTCCCTTCTGAACCTTTCTCTGGGCTTGGATTAGGAAGGAGCACTCATCCCAGGGGGGCGGTGAGGAGTCCAGGGTTACGGCGTGGTCTTCCGCTGCAGATTGGGCCCACGCTTGCTCACATAGCTGACGTGTGTCACAGGGGGATCTCCAGCAAAACCGGTACAGGGGGGTTGCCCAGCAACATCCGCCCACACTGGCCCTGCGTGGTGGTACCTGATCCTGGATTTCCTTGCTGGAACACCCAAAGCATTCTGGGTGTCCTCCTGCAGTCCTCTCCCTCCGGTACTGCTGAGCACACCTGGCGTCACTCTCTGAGGGATGTCTGCGCAGACTGCAGGGAAATCAGTGCTGAGAGCCGGTGTAGGACACACGCACGCAGTGCCACAGTGGCTGACGCCCTCCTCTCGTTTCTCTCCCATTGAAGGCTATTATTCCTGGAGGAACCCTGGCAGGGGCTCGTGGTTTGTGCAGGCCCTCTGCTCCATCCTGGACGAGCACGGCAAAGAGCTGGAGGTCATGCAGATCCTCACCAGGGTGAACGACAGGGTGGCCAGGCACTTCGAGTCTCAGTCGGATGACCCGCGCTTCAACGAGAAGAAGCAGATCCCCTGCGTGGTCTCCATGCTCACCAAAGAACTCTACTTCTGCCGCTGACCATCCCGGGCTGCCTTCTAGCTCGGAACCCACCGCGTCATGCATTGACAGATCCCATTTGGTGGTTTTTTTTTTTTTTTTTTTTTTTGTTTTGTTTTTGTTTTTTTTTACGCTCTTAAAATATCCATATAAATTCATTGGGATTTTAATTTCAGGTCCATCAGGGAACTTTCTGGTGCTGTCATGTTCTCTGAGTTTTCAGAGACTTTTTACAACCATGTTATTCATTGGATGACTTTGTAATTTCTTCTTGAGATGAGTTTTCTGTTTGTGTTTCTGGCACCTTGTCATGACACTTACTTCGTGCAGCAAACATGACCTCTGGAGAAGAGTCTTGGCTGTGGCTCCCTGGGTGTGACACTGGTGGAGAGTCAGCCCTCTCTCCTGTCTGTACTTGGCAAAGAGAATCCCAGTGCTTAACAGAAAACAGCTAAGGGGAATGTTCATTGGCTCTATTGCAGGAAGTGGGTAAGGAGTGTGGTGTGAGTGAGTTTTCGCTGGATTAGGGCGGATTCTCGTGCAGACATTCCCAGTTAAGTTAGAGGTGGGGAGGGAGCTTAATGATTCTAATTTGTATCAGTCAGAATCCAGTTCAGCAAATAGAACCTGTGCTTGGTGGGTCAACAGAGGGGACTTAATACAGGATTCACTTAGGTGGATGATAAAATGGAAGCCAAACAGCCAGAAGCTGCTACCACACCTAGGGCTATGGGGGAAATGGGAAAAGGTGTCCAAAGCTGGGATTATCCACAGGACCTAGAACCAAGGAGGGGGGTGCCTGATAGGATCTGAGACCACCGAGGAATTGTGAGAAATTGACCCATAGAGCAAGGCCAAAACCACTGCCTGAGAGGGAGGCAAGGCAAGAGCTGAGCCAGATAAGGAGAAACGCCCTGGCCTTGGCTCCCCTACACTGGAGTCTTCCACCAGCACCTGACCATTCCAGCCCTACCTGCTCACCAGCTGAAGAGGTTCCTGGGGAGTCTGATTTTCCATGATACAAAGCAGAGCAAGGTATAGGAGGGAGAAGGGGAGCAAAAATGGTTGGAAGCCCGGCCCGTCATGTGAACATAGTAATCCTATTCCCTGATGTTCATCAATGCATCCATTTAGTCACTGAGTTGTCAGATACAATCTACATACGTGCAAAATAGTCTGTTCCTGCTTCATGTGCAAAATGCTCTGTTTGATCTTTAAAATATATTTGGAACTTTTTAGACTATTCCAAACCTTATTCTAAGTAAATCTGTTACTTCTAATTCTTTAAGTGGGGAAGAATTTATGGCAAAGATTTTTGACACTTTGTTTTCAAGGTGCTGTTATCTTTTGGATTCTTGGTAAATGACTTTTTTTTCCTGCCTAATAACTGGTAACAGATGTTAATATTTATTGATTAAAATGTGATTGCTTAATTCCTAACCAGCTCAGTTTTCTTCCTTTTGAAGTTATTTACAGCAGTAAAGAAAGGAGAAGATGGGATAAGAACTGCTCCTACTGATGTGACCTCAACACAAAAGAAGACTTGCTTTTGAAGCTAGGACACTAATAAAGTAAACAAATCATCATTTGGGAAGCCAGGATACTCCATACAAAGGGTTCATCAATTTATGAAAGCTGTTTTGATAACCTGCCATTTATTAATTTGGCAAAAAATATCTAACAATATGGGTAGAAGTTATCTTCTTTCACATTAAGAAAGCTAATTTGGAGCCAGGTTGTTAGACTTGTCTCTGGTTTCCTGCCATCTGAAATAGACCAAATGTTCAAAATTGAAATGGAGATCGGGAGTCTAGAATCAAAAACAAGCATCTATCCTACTGTTCACAGGCTGTTCTTTGAAAAATAGCCTGTCCTGTTAAAGTCCTACCATAGACATAAATGTACCTGCATGCATTGCAATTTGAGGTAAAAACTGTAGCATTCTAGTTATTTCCCTTGTAAGCATGATTAAAGGGAAGGACATGATCCCGAGTTTCAGGGTTTTATTTTGTTTTTAAATATCCATTCATTCATTTATCTATTTATTTGAAAGGCAGAGCAACAGAGATGGGGAAAGAGAGATCTTCCATCCCCTGGTTCACTCCCCAAAGACTGCAACTGCTAGGTCTGGGCCAGGCCAAAGCCAGGAGCAACAAACTGCATCCTGGTCTCCCACATGGTTGGAAGGGGCCCAAGTACTTGAGCTGTCCTAATCCTCCACTTGGGTAGGACGTCGAGTAGCTAATGCTTGCACTGACACTGAAACAGGATGCTGACAACAGGGTTTCATCTGCTACACCACAATGTCCGCCTCATTGTTTATTAACTATGAGTTCCCATCTACTGGTTCATGCCCCCACATGCTGCAATGGCCTGGTCTGGCCAGACCAAAGCCAGGAACTGAGAACTCAATCCAAACCTTCAACACGGGTGGCAGGAACACAACCACTTGAGCCATTGCCTGCTGCCTCCCAGGGTCTGCATTAGCAAGAACCTGGAATCAGAGCAGAGAGGACGCAGTACACAGATGTTCCAGTGTGGGACACAGGTGTCTTAACTACCGGGCTCAACACCCACCCCAAGATTTCTTTTTTTTTTTCTTAAAGATTTATTTATTTGAAAGGAAGAGTTACAGAAGACAGAGTGAGAAACAGAGAGATCTTCTATCCACTGGTTCACTTCCTAAACGGCCACAATGGCCAGGGCTAAGTCAGGAGCCAGGAGCTTCTTCCTCGTCTCCCATGTGGGTGGCGGGGGCCCAAGTACTTGGGCCATCTTCCATTGCTTTTCCCAGGCACATTAGCAGGGACCTGGATCGGAAGTAGAGCAGCCCAGACACAAACCGTGCCCATATGGGATGCCAGCATCATAGGTAGCAGCTTTACCAGCAACGCCACAACATCGGCCCCCCCACCTTTTAATTCTTTCACAAATTATAGTTTATAAATTAATATTACCTTTAGCCCTGAAGTGTAGATATAAATCACTGTTAAGAGTCTTTCATCTTGGGGCCCGCACTGTGTCGCAGCGGGTTAAAGCCCTGGCCTGAAGCACCAGCATCCCATATGGGAACCTGTTCTAGTCCCGGCTGCTCCTCTTCCGATCCAGCTCTCTGCTATGGCTTGGGATAGCATAGAAGATGGCCCACGTCCTTGGGTCCCTGCACCCGTGTGGGAGACCCAGAAGAAGCTCCTGGCTCCTGGCTTTGGATCGGCGCAGCTCCGGCCATTGTGGCCATCTGGGGAGTGAACCAGCGGATGGAAGACCTCTCTCTGTCTCTGCCTCGCTCTGTAACTCCCTCTTTCAAAATAAATAAAATAAATCTTTAAAAAGAGTCTTTCATCTTAAGTGCTTCTATGAGTAGATACTCTTGTTTAATAAAGTGCCAAATCCTGTTTATTCCAGGTTGGATATGTGTTCATCACACTTCCATTCCAACCCTGATGGCAAGTTACCATCAGTCCTGGGGAGTGTACATCCCAGTTGCTACTCAGAACCCAGTTCCCCCTGCAGGAGTCTCTGCTGGAGCTCTGCCCTCATCACAGGAGGATGTCTTCATTGGCAAAATGCACTCGACCTTGAGTGTCTGTGTGTTTTGGCTTTTTTCTTTAAGGTGCCACTGGCATGTTTTAAGTTAGCTGATAATAAACTCACAACCATCCTAAACCCATTATGTTTGTGAATTGCTCAAAATAACATTGCTGGGTTCATTGTGTTCAGGATGTGAAACCTGGAGAAGACCAAGACCCCTCTGTGAGGTCACAGACTGGCTGGCGGTCCCTTGTTTGGTCCTGTCTCTGTCTCCTCAAATCTCATCCCTGGCTACCCCGACCAAGGACTGCCTTCTGATTTCCTGGGAACACACCTTCCTTCTGGCTGTTCATCTTTCAGGCCCTTTTCGAGAACATATTTGGCCAGCTGGGAAGCTAGGGTGGGCCCTGGGTTGTGGCAAGGATTCTGCTGTAGTGCAGTCATCCCTTTGTATCTATAGTGAATTGGTGGGGCCAGTGCTGTCGCACAGTAGGCTAAGGCTCCGCCTGCAGCACTGGCATCCCATATGGGCGGTAGCTTGTGTCCCAGCTGCTCCACTTCTGATCCACTCTCTGCTATGGCCTGGGAAAGCAGTAGAAGGTAGCCCAAGTGTTTGAGCCCCTGCACCCTTGTGGGAGACCCGGAAGAAGCTCCTGGCTCCTGGCTTTGGATCAGCCCAGCTCCAACCATTGTGGCTATTTGGGAAGACAACCAGAAGATGGAAGACCTTTCTCTCTCCCTCTCTCTGTAACTCTGCCTCTCAAATAAATAAATAAATCTTAAGAGAGAAAGAAAGAAAAGAAAGGAAGGAGGGAGGGAAGGGAAGGAGGGATAAAGGGAGGGAGGGAGGGAATTGGTTCCAGGACCCTCACAGATACCAAAGTCAGCAATTGTTCAAGCCCCTCATATAACAATGGCATGGTATTTCCATATAGCCTACACACATCCTCCCGTAATATCACTATAATTCAAATTCTATGTAAAAAGTGTTTACTGTTTTATCCAGGGAATGAGGAGAAAGAAATATTCTGTACTTGTTCAGTGCAGATGTAGTTTTTCTTTCAAATAGTTTTGATCCGTAATCAGTTGAATCCAGGGACAGGAACTCTTGGGTGTGGAGCTCCAGCTCCAACAGAGCAGTGCCCCGCAGCGGGCAGCAGCACTGGAACCCCTCCTTTCTGGAGAAACGCCATCCTTGAGTTCTTCAAAGATAGGCAGATCGAAGGGTTCTCTTCCCGTGCACTTTGTAGAAGTTGGGCTGGGCATGAGCATGAACTGGCGGCGTCAGCACCCTCCAGGAGCTTGTAGGAAATGGAGACTCTCATGCCCCATCCCAGACCTACTCTCCAAGGATCTGCATTTTAACCAGTTCCCAACATGGTCCGTGCTCAGGACAGTGAGAAGCTCTGTTGTGAGGACAAAGCCCAGTTTTCTGAGCTTTTCTTGCCCCTCTCCACTGAACATGGGGCACAGAACAAAATCAGCAAAGAAACCCACAGTTCTGGAGGCTGGGGCGTCCAGGCTCCTGGCACCAGCATCTGCTCAGCCTCTGGTGAAGGCCTCATGCTGCATCCTAACATGGCAGAGGGCGTCACACAAAGAGACCAAGCAACGAGCGAGAAGATCCGGTCTCTCTTCCTCTTAGAAAGCCATCCTGCCACCCCCTTCCCCACCCACATAACTTCACCTGGTCCACGTTACTTCCCAAAGTCCTACCTCCAAATACCATTACCAAATGAACGTGGAGATTAAGTCTCCACCATCTCCGACTTGTGGATTTTGGAGGATGCCTCTTGACCACAGCATACCCTTAAGATACGCGCTATCCTTTTTACTTTACATACTGGGCTCCATTTTAAATAGTTTTGCTGAGAGATAGAACAAGATTGGGTATGTGAATTGCAGCCTTTAAAATGCTTATATAAACAGGGGCAGGCATTTGGAACACACACATCCCATACCAAGAGTGTCTGGGTTTGAGTCCCGGCCACGCTCCCAATTCCGACTTCCTGCTGTTACACGCAGTGGGAGGTGGCAGTGATGGCTCAAGTGTTGGGTCCCTCCCAGCCACATGTTTTCATTGGGGGCAGGCGCTGTGTGTGCTGAATCCTGGGGGCTTGTGTCCTCCCACACTGTCCTCAGAGCCCAGGGGGTACCTACCGGGAGAATTACTCTTTCTCCTTGCCAGTGGGCTCTCCGACCACAGATCAGTTTTTGATAGTCTTCTGGGCTTTGGGATGGCAAATAATTCTTCGATTCGTAAACCATTAACACAAACACACTATTTGGAAAGACCTGGCCACCACTGCAGCGTCATGATGTGGACACAAACTCCATCAGCTGCAGCTTCAGGCATGAGCACCCTCTAAAACCACGTGACTGACGCTTAACAACCCAACAGCCATATATGACGACTTGGCTTTGGTGTAGTCTTAGCTCACAAGGCACTATAAATATTTATGGCACTGCAGTTTTCTAATAGATCTGTTTTAAGCGTTTAAAGCCAAACTATGTCAGAGGATTTAAATTTGGGAGGCACGTGGATTTATGGCTGCAGAAATACACAGACACTTCATAACACTGGTGGAAAAACGGCCTTAGCCATCCTGCTCCCAGACTGAATGGCAAAGGTTTGGGGCACAAATGTGCCCAGAGTTAGAGCACTCTTGCCCAGGAGCTTCTGGGACTGTGCAGGAACTTCACCCCAAGGCAACTTTTTGAGGGGAAAAAACAGGGTGTTTTTTTGAACACTCGTGAGGTGTAAGGGGAGAGCTGACCAGCAGGAAGCGGTCACTGTGTGCCTGCAGGTGCACCGGCTCTTGCAGCTCCTGTTGCTCTTGAACAAACCACTTAGGCAATCACTTCTCCACGAGATGGGCCTCTTGGTTTTCCTTCCCTTCCGGTATCTC